GATTAGACCGGGTTGGGGATATATAGATTTTGGATTGGGTTGTTGCGTGTTCCTTTTGTTTGTGAGCCCACGTAGGACATGGTGGCGCGTATTTTTGTACATGGACCTGGAGGCAGCGGCAAAACTTTCATGCTGAAAGAAGTCATCCTCCCGGTCTACAACGAGTTTCTACCTGGGACCACCCGAGGGGTCGCTGCTCAAAACTCTGCCGCTCGACTCATAGGAGGAAGCACGTTCCACCATATGGCTGGCCTCACACGGGCGCAAGAGCTCTTGCTGCAAAAGCCCTCTAAGACCAAGAAGGAGGCTTTGCAGCGTAAGTGGTGGCGGCTTTCGCTGGTCTTTGTTGATGAGATTAGCTTGACTGCACCGAATTTGTTGGCAGTGCTACACGGATCGGCCTGCTATGGTCGTTTGGACCTATCTCCAGAGGATTTTCTGAGTAACATTTTCGGCAATGTCTTGTGTCAGATTTTGGCTGGTGACTTCCTGCAGCTGAACCCCGTGCGAGCCAGATCCCTCATGGAAGCCTTCGGCATTGAAGTTCCGGGGGTGCCTCGATACGAGAAGATGGACGACCAACAGCGCAGGAAGAAAGTCGACATCGATGAACATGGACTTGCAGTCTTTCGCGCCTTTCTGAAACAGGTCATCTTGTTCAGAGGCTCTCACCGCTTTCGGAAAGGAGATCCGTTGGCCGAGCTCTTGGAGACGATGCGAGTGGTCGGAGGTCGTCCCTTGTCTGAAGCTCTGAAGGAGGCCATTCGCAAGCAGGTGTATCGCCCGCTGGGAGGCGATCCTCGTCTGAGTAGCGATTACACCATGGCTTCAGGCTCCACTGCGCCCACCGGTCCTCCAGGTTTCTTCGCGCGCGGTGTCTTCAGCGCAGTGAACTGGGACCAGGTAGCTCGTCTCCAGCAGTTGTGCGCATACGAGTCTGCTCGCGCAAGCTTTGGCGTTGCAGCTTTCCGCAACACCCAGACTGGACGTCCCCAGCTGATTCGTCGACACTTTCCGACATATCTTTCGAAGTCCTTTCAGTCTCGCTTCGGAGCGGTCTTCGCGAAGCAGGAATCCTTCTTGACGTCGTTGCTACATGACAAAGGTCGTCTGCTCTACTACGTTCAAGCAGTGGATTTGGTGCATCAAAGTGAGTTCACCAACGACAAATCCATTCTGCGCGAGATTCTGGGCTTGACCAACATGGCAAGTAAAACTGGCAACCTCATGTCGTTCCTGCCGCTGCACTTGGGCTTGAAGGTGAAGGTGACGAAGAAACTTTTACCACCAGAAATTGTGCAAGAGTGTCCGGCCGAGGTGATCGCCATTCAATTTCATCCCAACGAACGCTTTGGCGTGCCTGGCGCGCCCGCTGGTGGTGGAGTCCCCGCGGGGTCGCATCCGTGCTGGGAGACTGGATATGTTCGCCTGGACTATCTCCCTGCCTCGATTACCTTGCGTATTGAGGCCTGGGCCTGCAGCTAAATATAATCTGAACGTCATTTATACGCGGATGTGACTGAAGACAGGTGTCCTGCACAGTTTGTGAACATCCTTTTTTTAGACAGTTTAATCTAACATTCTGTGGGACCCATGCATCTCTGAGTCACACCTGACTTGCAACAGGATCAGCAAGAAGATTATACCGGACAGCTTCTGCCTGGAGTGTGGCATTTAGAACCGAGTGAAGATTCTTTCCGCGTGCAATTGCATCGCAAAGGAGCCTTGATGTTGGATGTTACTCGGATACAGTATCCTCTTGCTCCGCTGGCTGCTGGAACCTACAACAATGCCCAAGGCAAGACCATCAAAGGAGTTGGGCACACGATTGATTTTTCGAAGCCAGATTATTTTTCGGCAGACGATTATACGCAGCACTTGTACATGATTCTTGGACGCGCTCAAGCTCTCGAGTATTCCTTATTTCGCAATTTGCCGGAGACGCCAGAAGGCGATATTGATTTTTCGATCTTTGAGACTGGTCCACCTGCGTATATTGCCGAGTTTTTGGATCGACTGGAGGACTCTGATGTGCTTGTTGACTTGTTTAATGTGCTATGTTGGATATCCACGGACTGATTCACCCTGCTCGAGTGATAAGATACGAAATAGCATTCCATCCGCATGCGGGTGTGTCGATCTTGTATCGTTGTTTGCAGGAGGTTGCGCTTTTGTCTCGCTCCGCCATCGAAGAAGCTCGCAGACATCTGCCTGGTTTTCCAGCCGCGGAACACCTACCGCGACCGACCCGCAGAACACCAGAGGGTCGCTTTCAGTACGTCCCAGGGGCTTGGACGGCGGCTACGAGGGCGAGTGTAGTGACTGAGTTCAAGGGAACGAAAAGGAAGTACGACCCCACCAAGTGGCGTCAGCTGCGAACGGATTTCTGCGACATCTGGTCTCTTGTGCTGGAAGAGGTGGCCGCTCCCACGGCACAATTTTTCCGAGAACACGGGGCTCTGCGTGTCTTTGCCGCCGAAGCTGGTGGAGGCGGCGATTGCTTCTTCTTGTCCACTGCGGTCGTCCTGATGCAGGCGCGAGCAGTCCACCCACGACTCTTGAATCTTTTCACTTCCGATGAGGTGGCTGACTGGGACGACCGAACTACGGTTGCGGCTGCTCTCCGCAAGATTGTTGGGCGACACATGCGCGCCAAGACGCCAAAAGCATTCTTGAACTTCGTCGTAGGGTGTTTGGTGCGCGAAGCTGCGACATGGCTGGACGACTGGTCTATGATCGCACTCTTGCGTGACTCTCCTTTTGCTTTCTTGAAAGACGCCAACGATGTCCTCGGAGCAGAAGTTGCAGACGACGCCATGCTAGTTCGCTACAAAGAGGGCGACAGCTCCGTGACGAGGAGCAAGAGAGTGCGTTCTGGCACTGCGGCCCTGGTGTCTTTGCAGGATGCCGTGAGCACTGCTCTCGAAACTTGTGGGAATACTCATTGGGCAACGGACGTCGACTTTGTTGCGTTGACCACGGAGCTCAATCTTGGCTTCATCATTGCTGGAAATACTTGGACCCAGACGTCTGTTGTTCGAGGCTCCGGTGACACATCTAACAAACCTGTGTGCGATAAATCCATACGAATGTTGGACTAATGACATAACCTATAGGAGAGTTTTCTTCACTTCCGTTGTGTTGTCTCATATACTTCTTGTCGTTGCAGGCGAACCACAACAACGCACGGTCTTGCACTGCTATTTACAAGAAGATCAGACGCCGCAATTGTGGATTTCTCTGTATTATGTGGACGGTTATCATTTTCAAGTGCTTATTTTCGAGATTTTGGGACAATGCCATTGTTTCTTTCGTGCCGCGGATCTGCCAGAACCTTTACGCCAGTGCTTGATGAAGACAGAGCTTGGTGGTGAAGTCCCCAGCGCATGCTGCCTTGGTGGTGGAGTCCCCAGCGCATGATGTCCAACAGCGTGTCAGAGAGTGAAAAAGAGATTCCCACCGGCTATGTGTCTTTTTGTACACAGTGGTTTGACGTATGTGTTTGCATTCGGGTTCGTGGGCTCCATCTTGTTTTTTGCCTACTTGTTGACGATCTTCAGTCAAGGGTGACCAGTATAGGCAAGGATCTTTCTGCTTTGTGGGGTGGTTTCAGCGGTTTAGGGAACACGGGAACACCCTCCCAATATCATGAATTTGGACTGGGCAGCAACAAGCAGAATACCGCAACATCAAAATGATTGACCAATATGACTTGCCGATTCCTTAAACTCCCATGCAAACTCTCTCTCTCTACCTTGCGCTTTTCCTTGCTTAAAATCTCATCATACAGAAGTCCCGCGTATAGGGTACCTAGACCCAGGGTAGGTCTCTCACTAATGCGACGGACTAATCTTCGTACTTTCTATCAAACTTCTTATATATCCAATCTCAACAACACACCACAACTTTTGCCTTCTTGGGCCTTAATTGCATCCAATTTTACCCGAGTTGCGCCTACCATTGGACTAAAATTATAACCTAGAAGTCAGAAGTTCGATTACCATTGACCCCACCTTGAAGCTCCTTTGGATTCACAAACCAGGACAACCCGGAGTTCACAAAGGTTCATCGTTGAGAGCCGACACAAAGTAGTGATCCAAGAGAACGCTGAGTTAATACACACATATTGCCTTCATATACATAGTATATCATAGTATCCTTGAACCTGTTTCACATTTGTTTTGGAGATATTACCGGCCATATCAATGCCAATCTCACCTTCTTCACAGGAGGCCAGATAAGCTTGTCGTAGGTGAACACCGGGAGCGGTTCTGATTTGTTTGGCATCCTGTGTTAGAATCTGGATCCCAAAAGCACTTACAATTTGAATCGGAATGTCTTCTATCTGCAAGTCCCATGGCACATATTTGGAAATCCAAAAAAATACATCATTACCGTCCCGGCAAGAGCTGGAGCTCTAGGTCTAGAGGCCTAGAAACATAGGAGGTCTTGAGGTCTTGCAGAGGTCTAGAAGTCTTGAGACCCAGGTGTTGAGATCCAGACAAATCTACAAGTCTATAGAGGTCTAGAGTTCTGGCGGTCGGCGTAGAGATCCAGAGGTCTAGAGGTGTAGAAGCCTTAGATCCACAGAAGTCTTGAGATTGAGAAATAAAAAGGTTAAATAAAACAGAACGTAGTGTGGTCTATCGCTGTGGAGTTGCCCACACAGGAAGGGAAGAGGACACGAGATGAAGAGAATCGGAGCAGAGTTGCATGGTAGCCCCAAGAGGCTGATTTCAAACACCACCAATGATATAGAACTTTGAGCAGCAAGGGCCCGTCTATATTATATAGCTACAAACAGGACCAAGAAGGTCATCATCATCTTCTCGCTGTGGAGTGCAGATCACAGATAATACGTGCAAAGCCTGCTGTCGTGTATTTGTTAATGTCAGACTTTCACAGTCCTTGACTAATCGATTTCTGCCAAAATTATCATTTTTTCTTGATTGGTGTTCACCCGGGCCTTGTTTCACAATGCACCTCGTCCCACTTGTCGACAGGCCACATTTGGGAGAATTCCCATGCGAGGGACAATGTGCGCCATATGACCTTTGGTTTTGACGATTCAGAAGAAGAGAAGGAGAAGGCGAAGATTCCATGCCGGAAAAGGTTGATCGCGTCACAGCAGGATTGTTTCCTGTTCAGATCTTGGGTGTTTCGGGCCATGGAAAAGAAGAACAGTTTTAGAAGAATTGGTTTCCAGAAGCTTGCACATGTTTTCTTTGAGGTGGTGAGCTGAACAGGGAGTTGTATGGAAGTCCTGCACCACCTGGGCACCGACTACCGACTGTTGATCAACCCCTGACTGGAGACGTTGTACCATCTATATAAAGGGGGGTCTATTAATCTATATCAACCATCTACATTACTGAGGTCAAAGATTTGAACATCAAAATGCTGCGGTTCTTTTTCGCGCTTTTTCGCGCTTTTTCAGGGGTGGTTGATGTGGATGCCACCTGGAGACCGTATTGTCAAAGTGAAACAAAAAGCCGTCCAGGACGCCCAGGACGCGCTGAGACCAGCTCTCCATGCGAATCCAAGGTACTCCCCAACGTAGTCCCCCCTCTCTTCAAACTCTTTTGGTATCAATTCACCAGAGGTTGGTCTCAAGTGAGTCACGGGCTCGGATGAATTGGCGAGTCACCGTGTTGCGAGCGACGGTGGGACCATGTGGGACCCCTGGAAGGTCGGAGGACACGATGAATGGAGGTGAAAGACCAGAGTCCGAGGGTGGGAAGCAGCATCAAACACTTCTCCCATGGGCATTCAGTGATTTTGGTTGAGAACCATGACTAGAGACATACTTGTTTCTACGTTCGCTTCTTGTTACTACTAGTAAGGCACTTGTTACTAGTAGCGATGCCCTTGTTCCTAGTAGCGTCTAGGAGTGACTAGGGTCTATTTTTGAAGAAGCTTTGTTTCACCTTGAACCCGTGGCCTCGCATGGTCGGCCTGGGTCCGTCGAGGGGTCTGGAGACTCGAACGTGGGTGTCGAGGACGTTGTGCGTCGCCAGGAATTGTCAATCCAGGTGGAGGAACGAGTGCCTTCCCTTGATGAGAGGCTCACAATCCAACACCAGCAGATTATCAAACACTTGGAGCGTACCTTGGTGTGATGGTGGAGGTCCTGGATGGAACTCTCACTCCAAAAGATCGATCCGAATCCCATTGCCAGGCGCGATGGTGTGATGCTTCCTGCACCGCGCCATTGAAACAGAGAACAAACACCCGTTCATTGTGCAGTTGTTTGATGTTGTTTGGTGGATACCACGGATACAGTGGATCATCACAGATGCAAGCCGCTTTTCAATCGCTTGGGGTTATATACATCTGTGTCCTTGGTCTTGTATTTTCAGCATCGGCTTGTGCCACCTCCTCTTTGTCTCCATGCAGTTCCCCTGTTTCTCACCCTTGTGAGCCCAGCCGTGATGAGAAGTGACGGACCCCGTCACCGTCGCCCGTGCGACCCAGGTCAAGAGCAGATGTTGAACAAGCTCTTGACACGCCGCGCCGTGAATCCTTCGGAGATGTCTTCTGTGAACAGTCTCAGGAGCCCATTCGATCCGGTCACACCCGGTGACGCCGGTGACTGGGGTGAGCCATGGGTGTGCGATGTTTCAAGGGTCGCGGCTAGCCGAGAAGGGTCGCAGAAGAATGTGCAAAGGGTCACGTCGGGACCCGAACTGAAGGTGTCCAGTCTCCGCGCGAACTGAGTATTGCTTAAGCATTGTTCTTGAAAAGTCCGCCGACCTACCTCTTGAGGAGGTGTTTGGCGATGGGGATGGGCTGAGAGAGGGCAGGCTGTGAAAAGTCACTGCGGCAAGGTTGTTGACTGAACCATGCACCCAGCAGAGGACCGAAGGGGTACCTTGTTGGTCACGCCTCGGGCTTTATATATCCATTCATTCCCTTTATTTATCTATTCATCCAAATATTCCGAACCTATCCCACTTGCATTTTTGGTTCCAGGCATATCTTCCAGATTTGACCCAAGTCAACCCCATGGAAAAGCGTTGCCGATCGCACTCTTCCAGTCCACGGTCGAGTGGCTTCACGGCGAGTTCGGCTGGCCAGGAGCTTGCACAGTATCGAAGAGCGTGGGCCTCGCGCCCGTCGGAACTCCTTGAAAGTGCAACAGATCCCTGGCAGCCCTGATCGAATTTAGGTCCTTTCCCCAAGAAACAGAAGCCTAGCTGGCCTAGCTTTGAACAAAAAACGGAAGTGGGCGGTGTCCATTCCCAGACACTCCATGGGACTGGCATATTTGCATTTTTCTTTGGGTGGTTGAAACGGGGTGAATGTATGGCAGTCTATGGCAGTCCCATGGAGTGTGTGGGATTTGTGGAGTCCCTGTTTTCATCGGAGATCTCAGGATCTTAAGTGGCTCCGGTGGTCTCAGCTCCTCAGGCGCCGCGGCTGGCGCGAAGCGACCGCACCGACTCGGGGGTGGCTGAAGTACCCGGCCCACTTAGTGTAGCTTCCATTGGTGACTCCTTCGAAGGTGCTGGGTACCATCTCTCTCTCTCTATACCATAGGTTGTGTGACTTTACTGGAGGTGTATGGCGGCAGTGTACTTCTTCGTTGGGTTTGTCTCGATGAATTCTAGGACTCAACGATCAGATCGCGAGATGCAGTGAGAAGAAGAATTGTTCCCCTCGTGCACATACCAAGACCATCCAAGGGCCGTCCAATCGGCTTGCACAATTGCTCAGGAATGGCCTGGCCAAGCTTTCATTGCCCCCCGCTGATGCAGACTTGAGAGTCCTAGAGAGTCCTTTGCCAGATGATCCTCATTTTTGCTCCTTCGCAAGACCCGAGCACAAGACCCGACCTCCTGGCTCCAATCTTCCGACCCGATGCCGGGCATCGCGCGCTTGCGCTTCATTCGCCGCAGGCGATGCCAGCCTGGCTTTACCGACAGCACAAGGTTCATCGCCTAGCCTCTTCCAGAGTTTCACGGCCTTTGACGCTCGGAGCGGTGCGCCGAGATTGCTGCGCCCTGGGCTGGGAGGGACTGATGGCACTGGGTCATACATTCTCGAGGAGCTGGCGCACCCTCATCTGAAGAGTTATATACATGGAGATGGCAGGAAGGTTACCCTTCATACCATGTTGGTTGAAGAATGATCTGCCATTTGAAGCAACCACTGCAGGAGTATAATTCACAACCGACCATATTCATTCCTGAGATGTCACATACTTGACATTTGCATGGTCTAGAAAAGAACTCGGAGACTCGTGTCCAAGCTGACCGCACCTTGGATACTCTGCATCTTCAGACGTGCCTGGGATCGCCGTCGGGGGCCGTGTCTCCGCCATGGCACCCTTTTTCGGTATCGACGAGTGCCCGGTCGTGCCGGATCCCTTCGGGCCGAACGAGGACCTGAACTTGAAAGAGGAGGCTCATGTGGCCAATCTCAACAACCAACGACGCTTTGTTGCGCTTTGGGTAGGATGGGAACATGGGTTGGTGATTTTTAGTGTGACTTCGAACATGGGTGGGATTCAGATTTATTGGCACATCATTCAGTCCTCAGGTCCTCTTGCTTTTTGATTCTTCACGCACCATGTTTGGTGATGACAGCACATAGACCATGTCTTGGGCGATCAGAAGCCCAATGATCGTTTAAAAACATGACACCACCAAGAAGATCTCTGTTGAAAGATCCCTGGTCCCTTTACAAACTGTTCACCCTCAACCAATCCCCCTTGATTTTGACAGGGATCCCAACAGCATGTTTTTCAGGTGACCAGGTCTCATAATGTAATTTCACCCAAGCACTCTTCCGATGTCACCAGCCAAGACAAGGGTCTCATCAGCATTTTGCAGTTTAGGGCTTTACCGCAGGTGTGAGGTGTGCCTAAACCTTTCCGTTTGGGTCCACTGAGTCCGAGCTGATTCGTCTTTAGACTTTGTTGGCCAATTTCAGGCCAACAAACACAAAACTAAACAGAGTCCATGAGTCCATGCGTCAAGAAAAAAGTCACCGAGTGGTATGCTTTCAGGGCGGTGGACCACTTCCTGTGATGGGTTCCTGAAGCTGATCGGTGAAGCTGATCCTCTCGTGTCCACAAGTTCGGAGTTCGGATGTCGAGGCCGACCATTTTGAGGGGTTAAGATGGGTTGAGGGGAGCTCAGGGGGTTTCTTTGCTATTTTTTGCGTGCCGGAATCAGCAATCACTTTGCGTAACCAGGGACATCGGGAAACTGACCCTTGGAACCAGATCGAAACGGAAACCTGTGGATACCTAGCCAAGGGAATTTTGCCTGTTGGGCTGCTGCTGCTGCTGCTGCTGTTCTTGGTGATTGGTGGTAGAGAAGCAAATTTGAGGAAGTGGGGCGACCAGCCAGTGTTGGCGACCATTTCTCACCCGTGGTGGCTCACCTGGTGGGGCCGCTAGTGAATCTTTGGACATTGATCGGAGGGTGACCATGATAGCACCCACCAAGTATCACCCTCCACCCTTCCATTCACCTCGAGCTTTGCTGCACACCCCAAGTTCCGCACTCTCTAGGCCGGAAGTTCGCCTCCGTTCGCATGGCGGACAACGCGCCTCCTGGCCACAGGGGGTCGGACCATGCTTGCCGGTGTCGAAGGCAGTCATGACCCGACAGTGAAGACACACAAAGGACATTTATATGACGCATGCCTATATTGTTCCCTCAACCCCCCAAATTTCCAGGTGAATTCCGAGAAGAACCTTCCAAGATCCGCTTCTGGCCCCGCATCCCGTGCACCCGTTGCGCCTGGTTGCTGCTCCAGCAGACCGTTTCCTGGATCCGCATGGTCGAGGTGAAACATTCCCGGTGGTCGTCCGGTGGTCTTTTTCCTCAGCACTCAGTGCAATAGGCAGCCTTCCGGTCAAAACAAACCCAGGCCACGCCACGAAGCAAAGGTGACCTTACTGTACGAGGATTCTGTGAATTTTCGAGAAGATCAGGGATCTCCAAGAAGAATCATAGAATCCTAGTTTATAAGCTAAATGACTGGGATTCTGGAGTGCCTTGCTGGGATCTCCAAGACTCAGCGCTCAGGTTGAAGAGGTCCATCATCTCTAGCCGGCAGGCACTCCAACAGGTCTGTCGAGCGAGTACGCGCGTTGCATGGGCGAAAGACGACGCAGGGTTACCCGGGTTGGGTAATGGGCGCAGGGATGGACCAGCATCCCCCAGCCCAGCATGCCATGGACATTCCCAGGCGCGTCCATGTATTTTGGGAACACAGCTGCAAGTGGTCAGCTGGATGGAGTGTGACCGGGTCGCGATTCCGGCTTGTCGCCAGGTGGAGAAGTGGGTTTACCACCCAGCCTTTGATGCTTGGACCGTGAGGTGGGAGGCCCCCCAACCAAAGGGGTTTTGGTTGATATTGCCCTTCCAACGGGTCTGCCAAGGCGGTCCGGTTTGTGAGGTGAGGAGATGGGAAGTCAGTCCACAGAACAGTGAATCGCCTTGTGAACAGTTTCGAAGATCTGCCCCAGTGGGCCAGGGTGTTGGGAACTGGGTGTTGGGAACTGACCACATGACCTATGGAAATTCCTGTCAGTGTTGAGCAGAATGTCAGTGAAGCAAGCGTCGGTGGTTCATGCCAAGAGGAAATCTGCAAACGTTTGCAACGACCCAAAGAGTCAGAAGAGGCGAGTGGGCGCGCTGCTGGACAGCAAGTGGGGCGAACGTTGAGTCCCTGCGATTTCTGCTGACACCGGTGACACGGTGACGAGCCACGTTGAACTTGAGCTTCGTCCCAGTGCCGACTCCGGGCCCTTCTTTGGGGAAGGGCTTGGTTCGGGTCAGGTCGGGTCCCCGATTCTTTGGAGATATGATGTGAATTCACCCAGCTCTATGCTGCTTTCTGGCAGAAGTGAAACGCCAAAACTTCAGTTTGGGCGTAGACGCTTGACCAACGTCCTGGAAGAAACGGTTTGCCGCTCTTCCTCGCTTCTTCCAGATTCAAGCTATCAATCTCGCCTAAGCTCAGGATATTTTCTTCGCCCTGGTGGTCTTTACCAATGCCATTTTCATCGGCCTGGAGGTCGAATCGAATATGTCAGGACAGTGGATCCCGAACGAAGTCGTGCAGACAGCAACTTGGAGCGGACCGTATCGTTTCGGTGGGATGACCGGGGCCCGGGTGCGGTCCCATACCGTACCTGAGGAGGTACGACTGGAGCCCGATCGGGATTCTGCGGATCGGGAAGACTCCACAAAGAGTCTTCCAAATCAATATGTTTAGTTTTTTGCGCCGGATCCGCTTTCAGAAATCCATGGTCAAACATCCTCCATAGTCACTTGCACCTTTTTGGCCACCATCGACTGAGTTAACACTATAGGACTATAGGATACGAATTAGGTGACGATAGGTCTAACACCGACAGGACATTCGACGGAGTTGTTGCTTGGTCACGACTCGCCTCCAAGGTTCCCAAACCGATGGTCTTGTCATGGTCTTGTTCGTCGGTGCTTATTTTTGGGTTGTCTGCGAGCGCGCGGATCGTTCTCTTTTTTCAATCGAGTTCATCATTTTGCACAACTCCAGATGTTTGTGCCTCGCGTGTTCAATAACCTATGCAAGTGCAAACTGGACATTGTTTCTTCCATGATACGATGACCTTTGATCGGAGATGTTCGAGTTCTGATCTTCCTGGCACCTCACCATCCGTCACGATCCGTTCATGTCGGACGCAGGGAGGAATCCGCGGACGAGGTGGCCAACAGACTCACAAAGGCCGTTGTAGATGGTTGATACGTTGAACAGTTTTTCCATCATGTTCAAGGTCTTGTTCAAGGTCTTGTTTTAAACAAAACCCTTAGAACCACTTGAGAACTGCTGATATGCATGTTTAGTGTTTAGTGTGGCCCAACAAGTACCAACTGTGAGCATCACGTGTTGCAACAGTTGCTCTAGCCTATATATAGCTGCTTCTCATACCTCCGATGGTGCCATCTGGAGAAGCAATTGCTGCAGGAGGCTGTATTTTCCGTCGGCTCCATAAGACCTTGCGTCACAAAGTCGTGCTTTAGTCGTGTGCCATTCAGCCACCTCTCGGGTTTTCTTGCGGGGAAATGCCATAATCCTGCTCGTGGTTGGCAAAGGCGCCAGCAACTTCTGCAACCGAAAAACGCCTTGCTTCGGTTCGGACCATGTTTTTGTGTGTCCTTTCCCAGAACCGTGGCAATGAGATAAACACCAAGGAGATATGCGGGTCCGCTTACATATCGCTTCAGAAGAAAGAGGAGGAAGCAAGGTAAGGCCTTTAAGCGCTGGCCCCTACCTCTCGGTATGATCTGGTTTGATCCGAGTGAATAAACTGATTGGTACCAATGTTTGGAGGATGGGTTTTCTGTTCCATTGGGAGCCAGCGGGCACAGCCCCCAGAAGGCGTGAAAGTCACAAAAACTTCTTGGACATGTCTGGGACCGAGGTGAATTATGTCTACACTAGTCTTTTTACCTTCGAGCTATTGGTCCGATGCATGATTGCTGGCCGCAGCTTCTTCTGGTGCGACGATTGGCTTTGGACGCCTGGCCGTCTGATCATATATGTTTCAATTCCAGTGAGGTTCTGTGCCGTTTGGAAGGTCCAACTAGAGAAGTCGATGGAACCGCAGGAGAATGGTTTTTGAATTCATCGGTCTTTTCTCATGTCCTCATGGTCAACCTCTCACCTCAACAATTCCCAGGAATTGGTTGGACATTGTCATCGTGATGACGTCCCTTTTTGCGCCTCGGCGGCTCTTTTTATGGGCTGTGGCAGACTGCCCTGCACACTCGACGGATGTGTGTTAAAAGGGGATGAAAAGGGAATCTGGGCAAGTTCGCGGTCAAAGGTGCTCATCAACACACAATTGACACACTGGTTGATTGTGCCAACGGACCACGGATGGGAACCGTACGTGTAGTCGTGTCCATTTTATCAAATCACACATGACACGTGTTCATGATGCTGCTACATACACCAAGAGATACGACACACGTGTTCATGATGCTGCTACATAAACCAAGACATACGCTGCTACATACACCATGATAAACGGCACGTGTTCATGATGCTGCTA